AGACTCATATTGTGTATACTGGATGACTAGCTGAATGTGGTACTCGTATTATGCATTACAGTTTTATACTCCTCCCTGCATTATTTTATTGTCGGATGATTTTACACATTTGAGACATAAATAATTTGACCGCAAGTGACATCTCAGCAGAAGCCGCAATCACTGACCCATCTCAATTATGTACATTGTATGTATGTATCCTCCTCTGCATTATACTTCTGACTTTAAAAAATATTGTACATATGCATACTTTTCTAAATATTTTCAGGTCATATTTATTTTTAAGAAATCCCGAGAGACTAAACATGAAGAGATTGTCATCCAAGTTCATGCACCACTTGAATGAACAACTATTCATACATTCTCGTTGTAAACTGTCCCTTCAGTTAGTCAGGGGACGTCGCGGCGTCGACTCGACGGAAGAGTTGATGCCGATATGCGAATTCGGATCACGGAGGAACAATATGGACCAGACCACGCAATAATGATTGTGAGGTCAGAAATGTGAAGATATCTCCAAATATTCTCACCACCATGTATGCAAGAGCCGTTAAGAAAGCAACGGTCTGCGCGCCGTATAGCCAGTGGCAATTCTATTGAACGTAAAAGTGGGAACGTGATAGCAATTCTTTACAACAGTTGCTATCAACAGAATCATCGTGGAATAAACCGTGCAAGGGGATTGTCCTTGTGAACAATGTGGCGGTGGCGGCGGTTCGGTGGAGCTGTAAAAATAACAACTCGCGTCCGAAGATGATGATGTCAGTGTGGAGGGGGGCAATTTATTGTCAGAAACTATGATGGAATAAGGAAAAGAACAGTGAGCGGCTTATCTGTTAGAACATATTCTTTTTTTCTTACTAAAAACCAAGCCGGGAGCTAAATTTCTTTTTTGGATGATTTTTATGAAATCTCTCTCCATGGATTTTGCTCTCTCTTCTTTTCTCTCTCTCTGAGAAGAGAGACGAAACGACAAGGAAATCGGGGTTGTAAAAAGAAACTCCTCACAGCATCATATTATCATCACAACCAGAGAATGGAATGGGACCTCATGAATCACGTCACAAGGATCTAACAACGCTGGATTCGCCAACTTCTCAAGTTCTGGCTCAAGGTTCTTCTTGAAATGATAATAAAAGCCCCAAAAGCCGCATACGAATGAAGAAGGTATTATGAAGCAGTAGATGGTGAAGTGAGCGAATTAGCAGAAAGAAGAAGGGACGAGTATCTCCTAGTCGTCGTCGTCGTCGTCGTCGTCGTAGTGGTCGAGTGAACTTTCTCCTCGCAATATGAATCGCAGTATGCCCACTGGATATGCATACAGTTAGTCAGCTTGTGGAGAGGCAGCAGAGCTAAATCCTTGGGGGGATTTGAGGAAGCTGAAGAGATGTCAAATCGTCCAGAAGTTGCCAGCAGGATCTTTCTCCTTGTGATGGTAGTCGTTGGTTGGAGTAAGTCGACAGGCCGACTATCTCCACTTCACGTCGGAGTTAGCAACATTACATTACGGGCTTCCGTGACGAAATGACTTGGATTACCGTGTCCCCACTGAAACTCGGTTTCATCATTCTTCATAATGCTTGCCCAACGACACACGACTCGACCGTGTTCTCCATCCCAAATATGTGACTCCAATATGCCTGTCCACTCTCAAAATTACCATTATATTTCTTTTGACCGGGAACATAAATTTTATATTTATTCCTCCATCAACTCTTACGGATTTTTAGTTCATACCCCGGTGATGGTTCGCAACTTGGAGAGAGAGAAAGCTACAAAACGTTTCCTTGTCTAATGGCCTAGAAGTTATTTTATTATGGATTTGTCGATTTTTTTTCAAACCGAGTTTAAGAACTGCAAAATGCGCAATTTTACCGTTCCCGATTACTAAAAATTACGTGGAATAGAATTCGCTAAAGAATTCGAATTCGTAAAAGATATCGTGTGATATATTACCAGAAAATAAAAACAGAAAAATAATGATTGCACATGTTGATGAAAGGACAAGAGTCGATGGAGTCATTTCATGACTCGAATTGGAAAAATATTTTGACTCTGCATTAATATCAAGATTAGATGATATCAAGCAAGAAGGCCTTAAACAAAGGGGTGATAGAAGAAGAATACGAGAAGGATGGCCCTAATCTACTCTTTAGTGTTTCCCGAAGGGAGCTTTTAACGCAAAATAGATGGATTGACTTGACAGTAGCATTCTCCTGTCTGATTATTGTTCCCAACAGTGAAGAATATGGCAATAAGCAACCCTTTCCAATTGTAATTGCCTTAAGCCGATTTGGACGCAGTTAATTTTTTACTCCATAATAAGGCACACTCCACATACAACTAGAACAAACAATAGCGACAATAAAAGTGACAGTAACGGCGAATCCTAATCGTGTTTGAGTGGGGCAGCAGGCAAGCCATTATGAATGGATATGTACACTTGGGTCGCAGATAAAATAAATATTTTCCCCTTTTAATCTGAAACCGAAACGACTGCAATTAAGCCCAAACACTTTGTAATAAAACAAATAGTCACAATACAAGTCACAACATGCACCTAATCAATCTGGTTGCTCTTTGCTGTCATTTCCCTCCCATAAAATCAGTCTCTCTTTTTACGGGCTTGGGTAAGAACTCTCCACAACAATAGGAGCTTATAACTACATAAACTACATAATAATATGCACATGTGTACATACATACGTAAATATATTAGTCCTTCTGTCTCATTCCACACTGTTTCGACAACATATGTATGTACATACGTAAGTAAGTATGTATGTACGTAAGGGAACTGCTCATTTCCAACGACCAAGTAAATTAATTTGCATTGTATACCTACTCTTTTGTATGAATTGCCTTGTTTAGACGGATCATGTCAACTGCGGAGCTGCTATGTATTGTGATGACAAAAGATGGATTGTGGGTGTACACGCAAATGTTATTAATACCAGGTCAGCAATAAACAGAAATTTGCATAATTATGAAAGTCAGCCACAAAACGAATATGTTTGAGAGCTATTTGCGCCGAGACAGGCAAATAACATGCCATAAAAATACACTACATAGTTTATGTACGTACGTATGTATCCGTCTCGTTATTAGGTAGGCTTGTTTTTTGTAACAAATAATTTCACCCATTTTGAGTGAAAAAATAACAATTTTTAATAACTCAACTTCTGTGTGAAAAGAAGGAGCTTACTTTTGAAAATCGTAATGAATCTTATAGTGTCAAAATTTGCACGTTCTCACGAACTCTCACACTCACATCTCGACAGGATCATCTAGGATTTTTAGAATGTGTGTAGCTAAACTTATTGTTCAAGAACCAAAAGGAACGGTAGATAATGATTTCTCTACTAATGCTGACAGTCGTAAAAGAGGTCATTTACGAGTAAAAAATGATACGGTAATATTTTACCACGTCAAAATCTATCCGACAGAAGGAGAACGCTCAAAGTCAAAACGAGTCGAAAAAAAATCAACCAATTCCTGTGACGGGACCAAACCACAAATCATTTGGGTAAAAAATCAGAACATATATGTACCAATGTACGTATATATATTATGAAAAACTATCAAAACTAGCTTATTGGTAAATAAGTTAGTTTCAAAACATACACAAGGAACGAATTGACCAAATAGCAGAGAACACATGCACGTACCATACTATATGTACATATGTACACAGTATATATGCACAGGGGCAACATGAGTCGTCTATGTGAATTATTCGAAATCAATAAAATTCAGGTACATAACTTTTGCAAGTCCAAATTGCACAGGAAGTAGAAAGTAATTGGTCTGATTATCGAAGATGAAGCATGGATGAAGTTTGTATGTACATATCGCCTGCCGTTGTTGAATAGTGAGGAATTAATGACAATGTGAGACGAGAAGGAAGAGCGTCGGCAGAGAGAATAATAAAAACGTTAATTGTTTATTTGAACATTTGAAAAAAATTGGAGGAGGGAGCTGTCGACGAAGCATTCCAAGCCCATTGGTTATTGTGCAGGCATATTAAAGCCCTCACTGTTCCGGTGTAACACCAACAAACTCATTCAGTGGATGAAATGTGCTCGTAGGAAGGTCTCATTCCTTCCCTCGTCATCATCATCATCTAACTTTCCTCGGCAAACCCCTCACCATTGCTAAACGACACGTCAACCACTAGCTCTCCACTTGAGAATCCAATCCAACATTTCAAACTGTTTCATATACCATAGGATTTTAGTGACTACTTAGCTTACTCGATGTATGTATGCAGAAGAAGGCAGGGAAAGAGTTAGGTTGGATTAAATTCTTGAATGCCCAAGTGGACGGGGCTATTCAGTCTTCGTCACTCGTAATCAGTCAAGATTATTAAAGTTTCCTCGGCCTGATACGACAAAGTTGACGAACAAGATTTACATTCACTCGCTGCTATACTCACCTCTATCAAAGAGTGAAATGAGCTGTCAAAAAATAAATCCTGTCCTTTTTTGCTTATATATTTTCCTCTCATTATCATCTCACTCGCTCTTGTGGCACCCACCCTGATGGTTTTTATCATGTCTTCCCCGTTACATATGTACAGAAGGCCGAGTGGCTAAGTGATGCTATTTTTTGTGTAAATGTCTACAAGGATGGATACAAATTTTGTGTTTGAAATTTTACTCGAGATTTTCATTCGTTTCTACCCATTTACACGTTCAGAGTGAGATACAAATTTCGTTGCATTTTATTTTTACTGTTCTAAATATTCTCGGAGAATATACACGTTGTACGCATAGCATGTTATTAGTTTTAGGCAGGAGGAGTGGAGTCTCTCTCGCCCGTGATATTTATTGAGGGTTTGTGTGTAATGAGACTGGTGAGGAAATTTCAGCACATCCCTCCTTCGAGTGAGCGCATTATCATCTTGGCCCCCTGGTCGGACGGAAGGAAGAAGAATCTGCGATGATATGCTCTCTGTTTTTTTTTTCTGTACAACATCTCCCCATTGCTCCAAACTTGTCCTGTGCTCTCCTCCACGAATAAAAAAAGAGAGGAAGGAAAGGCGTCGTTGTGGATGCAGATCTTGAGCTAGGCAGGCTGAGAATAGACGTAGCGTGTGTTCTCCTAGCTTGCTTACATAAAAGCAGTTGTGTGGATTGGGAGAGATTTTGCCCGTGTGTTGTTTTAGAAGCAGGAGAAGACGGAGAACAGATAGCAAAGGGGTTGGTTAAACCGGAGGAGAGAGGAATTCTTCTGAGTTGGCGTGATTGGTGGTCCTGAGGTGTGGTATTCCCCTCGTAATTGCTTCACAGGACACCGCGACAGGTTGTGTGATATAACCGGGGTATGCCAACACCAAGTCATGACACTTGGACCTGATCTCCTCCGCACGAGACACCTTCTTACTCCTTCCTCATCATCCCCACCAATTCCTCCGTCGATGGGGGACAATTTTTCTTGAGCGTCTCGGGCAGGGCAAGAGCCACACATGAAGACCAACGACAAGCCTCTGTTTACTTTTACCTGCTCCTCTTCACAACAACTAGAAGACTCGCTTTAGCAGTTTAGCTAGTCTTCGCTCCTGCTTTAGTCATCATCAGCTCCAATCTCATTTGGTGGAGTAGTGAGCCGGTATCGGTAGGCAGTTCAGTCACTCAACGCTTACACCACACAACTCACCTGGCTTGTTGTAAACGCTGCATTCTCGGGGTCACAAATTTACACACAGTCTCCACACCACCATTTCTCCTGTGCGCATCGGACCATGAGAGCCAGAGCTCTCGTAGGGTCCCAAAATCAACTACTTACGACCAACTCATCAACAGGAACGCTCATGCACATTGAGTGAGAACACTGTATCGTTACAACTGTTAACTATGGCTAACGTGTAGTACTTGCTAAAAGTCATCAGAGGTATTAATTGCCTTGTAGTCGTCAAATTTTAAGAAACTAGGAGGTGTGTTAACTCAATTTTACAGTGCAATAATGAACTAATAGTAACGAAGAAGTGGTGGCACTCATTGCTGGAGAAAGTACTTTGTTGGGGAAATTGACAAAATCTCAGGAAACAAAACTGCTGCAATTCAAGTTCCCCATGTTGGTGACGTACACAATGGACGTGGAAGATATGGGAACTCGAGCTCCACGTGAGATCTCTGACTTTTCAATTGCTTCAATAATAGGCAGATCCGGTCGAGCTGCTGCCGAAGTTCTGAAACTCAAGGCCAAAAATAAACTGCTGAGCAATACGATTCGACCATTAGGTATGTCTTTGACTCGATTGATTGATTAATTGATTATTCATACTTACTTACGAAGTAGTTATTAGTGTTTGTTCTTGTCCGGAAACATTGTATATGATGCATCAGTTAAAAAATTGTATCGTCCGCAATCGATTTCTTGCCCAACTCCTCCTCTTACTGCGTGGACTCAATAACCCTCTATTAATCCTTTTCTAATTGCTGCATACGCATAATCGTGAACATACGACCACATGGACCACATGTTTAAAGTATGCATTTTGAAAATGCTCCCCCTCCTTCGTTTATCCTGGTTCATGCACATGGGTGGCGTATCATAATGTCGTTTGTCATGAGTGGATTAGCAAGAAATCTGTTGCATATGTAGTGGAAAAGGACTGAAGCCAACAATGAAAAATTACAAAATAAATCCAAGTTATCAATTATGCTGACATATTGGAGAGTAATTTCGGTGCATATTAATTGGAAAGTCGAGCATAACATCTTCACACACTATGCACCTAGAGTATACATACATACACATCAAAATATTATACATCCTCCGAATGAAGGTTGTGTTACCAAAGCAAGATGATCATGGGATGATCAGTGTGGGTAAGGTTTTATCCTTTGGTTGTGCATCTGGATATCTTTTGATACGTAATGAAATACGGGGGAGTTTGATACACTCTCCTTCACCAATTATTTATATATCTGATGGGGTTAATTCTGACTTAATTCATGGTTTGGATCCCTTTATAAGGCATTTGTAAGCTAATTGTTATTCAGTCATAATAAAACTCCATATCTGGCTGCCTCCATCAATAAATCATTTTCAAGATATCAATTAGTTGTCCAATATGATGATTCTTTCCATCAATTCAACCGTTTAATTGTGGCATGCCAAACAAACTGGTATTTTAAATTCAATTACACTATTAGATTTCTGATCGGTAACGTTGATAGTTGCCCACATTTAAGATTAGAATAGACCAATTAGACAAATTTTAGATTGTTGATATAAATGTAAAATCAACGTATAAGGCATATTTTTTTATTTGCTGATTAAATATTTCCAATGACATAAATGTTGCAACCGTGTACGTATTTATGTATGTATCACGCCCCAATTGTTGCACGCAATAAATTGTAAAAAACTAGCATTTTTATACTACTTCAGAATTATCCGCATTGCTAAAAAGTTACGAGTGTAATGCATGATCATGAGAAGAAGCTGTGGCCAAAGATCGGATGAAAGGCCACCCTTGATCAAACTCTCAGTCTAATGTTTTTAATTAATTGACGAATTTACTTTTATTTCATGTCTGTCTAATAAATTGTTATTTCCACCAAACCATGTAATTTTCACGAAAGAAAGACTATGTACATAACACTCACACCACTCTCCTCCTCAACGATCCTCAGGAAAAATTTTCTGTGCGAAATCTCCGTGTCGCTGTTCGTGATGAGTACATATTGTAAAACGGAACGTAAATAAGTACAATGATTATACGGCAGAAGAGAGAAGTGACCTTCTGACTGATCGGCTGGAGAAAAAGTTGCGGCATTCCTGACTGATCAAGTAGCACATACATATGCGTTAGGATTGCTTATAATATTATACACTTGTATGGCCTGGGAATAAGTTGGCTCTCGTTCTCTCATCAATAGAAACTGTTGCACTTTGATAAATACATACATGATCATTTCCAAAAGCAGAACCTTATTTATCAACATGCAAATATGCATGATTAAGGACTCTGCAATTGGCAAAAATTGTACATAATATTTAAAGAAAAGTGTGCAATGCTACAATGTAAATCCAACTGACCAACGTATTTTCCAGAAAACTAGATACTAAACTACATACATACTACACATGGCATCGTAGTAATTACACTGGTTTTACATGTTTTTATTATTATTCTCTTGTAGACGACACCGTTAGCTAATTGACACGGATTTCCATTTTATGATGTCTAACAGTACAAAAATATACTACATCATGACGTGTTGGTTGTTTTTGTGGGTTTATGTTTGAAAAATGTTTGATCTACTTTTACCAGCAGATGATCGTTGGTGGCAGGTTTAATTTTTTCATATTTAGATTGTGTTCTTTATTACATGTTTCTATTTCCAGTACGAATAGCACGTAATTTTAATATTCCTGGCACAACAAAAAGTGATGTGTCAAGAAACATGTTGTTTGCCTGCAACAAACAAGGCTTTTATTTCGTTTTACTGACTCGCATTCTTTAAATTGGGCCAGACGTCTCAGAGTTCATAATAATACTCAAAGACTCAGTCAAACTGGATAACATGCAATGATTATTATTCCCCGTCCGAGTGGAAATAATAATGCAGACGCTTGTTTATGTGTAGCTCATTGATATAACTAAGTAGATGGTACATATGTATGTAGAAGGAGTTTTATGATTTGAGGAATAAAATTTTGAGCCGACAATCGGAAAAGTATTGCATTATTCTTTCCTTATACACACTGTTATTGTGTGATTGTCATTATCTCCTGTTTATCCATGTTTCTGACACCATTATGAAACAATAGAACATGCATAAATATATACATAATAAAACAAAGGGTCTTTTTTTAATTGAGGTTTATAAAGAGTTGGAGAATTCTTGGAATTAATAATCGAATTTCTCGAAATGCCCTGTTTACACAGTTTTCACTGCAAATGCAGTAATATTTACCACTTATGTATGTATGAGGGTTATAATGCCACATCAATTCTTCCTCTGCATCTGGCAGACTTTTAATTTTTTATAAGGATGTCACTCCAGGCTAAATAGTAATTATAGACAAAAGTGTCCGATGACCGAGAGAGTGCATCCATTGCTTTTTCCTCGTGGTTGGTTGTGCTGAAGGTGTTGGAATCCCGTTTAATTGGTGATGATAATTACACACTGCGGAACCACCACTGTGCGGGCCTTACTTGTTTAACACCTTTTATAATTGATTTTGAACTGGACAAAGCAAATATTGAGCCGCCTCCTGGGAAGGTTTCTCTTTCTCTTACTTATTATGCGTCCAGGTGAAAAGAAACTATGTATCAGAAACCTCAACCTGCTCAACTTGTCAAAATAAGTACTGAACTGACATGTAAAATTGGGAAGGATAATTACACAGGATTGCGAATTAGATGAAACTTTGAGCTTTATAATTATACTTCAAAAATCATTGTATCGACTACTGTGAATTTTTTGCTGATAATCTACATTTCTAAAATGTAAAAAATTATTCTCCGGTGAGTACACAAGTGTGTTTATAAATTCACACGAAATCGTGTCGAGAAAGAGTAATATATGTATCCCACCGTACTCAATTAATATAATGACTTTGTGTCATTGTGTTTAAAAAATTCGTGTAGTAGCAAAATACTAAATAAATGTTCAAACGCAACCAAATTACTGAATATATTTAATTGACATTATAGCAGTAAGCACTGATACGTTGATTTAATACCTCTTGACAAACAAATTAAATCTAATTATGACTGGCATATGCATATGTAATTTCACGCACAAACTCCTTATGTCTCATTATAACCTTCAAATCACTCTCACGAGATGGATGGTAAGGATGTGAACGAAAAATTGTGAAACTTTTGATAATTGCACCATAATTCAGGAAAGTAAAGCAGGCACATGTTTTTATTTTGCCAGAGAGGTTTGTCGAGTCCACGCCTGGTTCAATGATGGACTCCCCAGAATCTCTTACCACGGACATCAAGGAAGAAATGGGAACGATTTTGGACGGCAGGGAATCGCCCGACGTCCCTTCTTCCACATCCGACTCCCGGGACACCATTGAAGTGGTCAACCACGACGAAGGGGATTTAAAAAGTGAAGGAAGCTGCTCTCCCGGTAAACGATCTCCTAACAACAGCAATCAGAGGTCTGGAAACGACAAATCAACCCCTAAAAATCCGCTTTTGATTGAGCGATGCAATTGCGAGGAGTTGAGACACGTCATCTGTCATCTGGAAACCAAAGAGCTCTGGGACAAGTTTCACGAGCTGGGGACAGAGATGATCATTACGAGAAGTGGAAGGTAAGCCGTATTTTAATTATTACTCCACATATGTACTTATTTATGCATATGCAACAATGTTTTTGGGTAGAAAGAAGGAACCAAGTTTTAAGAATAAGTTTTATAATAGTAATAAACACATAATACTAATAATTGGGCAAAGGGTTTGCATATTTAAATTTCACCTGCCACCGACTCGGCAAAGCGTCTAGTAATCTGCATCAAATTAAATTACAAGATCCAGAAAAAGTCCCTTGTTTGTCGGGTACACATCTATGTCAAAAGTAGTAGAAAAAAATTGGCCAATTTATAAATTAGGCAAATGATGAGGGACCTTTTTGAAGTTACTTAAATTAAAACGAACACCAACCGATCTATTTGTTTAGAGCTATTGTTCGTGCAGGAGAAGGCAATGTGTATTCTCACGGTAAAGAGTGTCCAGCTGAAAACAGGACCCGTCGAGAAGTCTGATGATGCGGCCGAGATAATTTCAGGGTCCAGTAATCCGATCAAGAGATTTTCAAATATTTGAAGATTCTAGCTGGTGGTCACAAAAAACTAAATGTCGATGACATAAGGCCTCGCACATAAATCTGAGATTGGCGTGTATCCCATGTTTTTTGCAGTTGCAATTATCAAGCAATAAAAGGAATAAGACAAAGAGAAGCTGGTTATTAAGTCGCACACCTGTACAAGGATGCATAATTATTACCCTCAAATTGTGGGATTGAGTGTGTAAAATCTTATTAAACTAAACGGCTTATGTGCAGGCGACGGTTTATCCTCATAACTTTTCAACCATCAAACGTGGCAGCGGGTCCGATCATATTTTTTTTTACTCAAGTACGTATAACAATTATCTTAAAAGTTTTAAGATAATTCGTATAAGTCTATTGAAGTTGGGCAAAAAAGAACATTTTAGAATTTCAAATTTTCTCCCATCCAGCAATTCACTTTAAGAGTGCACTTGATTTAATTAGCTTGATTGTTAATTAAACTAAAGCCCTTTTTATTCCTCAGAATTAGGGTGGCTACGAATACACTTAAATATAGAGCATAATGAATTAGGGCGAATTACATCCAATATCATGGGTCATAAACAGAAAAGTAATGGCAACTTGGTAATCGATTGACTTGTATATTGTGAAATGACTCTTGTGTCTGTTGAAGAGAGTTTTTCATCAATCACTTTTCGCCTTCCATCGCCGTTTCCAATTGACATGTCACAAATACTTACTACGTATTCACAGGATACGTTAAAAACCGACAATTTTCTGATAAATGCATGTCCAAATTCTGGAAAATAAATAAATACGAGCAAGTTTCCTTTTGTGTCTCTAGTGTCAGCGTATGTAAAACATTGATGGTATTATAATTCAGTGTAGATGAGGTTTTAAAAGGAGCTCCTCCCACCACCACGATGATTAGACGACGCATGAAGCATGCAGAGAGGCAGAAAAGCGTGACTTTATTTATTATACGAATGTCCTGAGAAGGGTTGGGCACTTTGCCTGTTATTATGAATGCACATACGCACACACCGAAGAATGAATGGTCTCTCTCTCAAACACATCCGGAGTTGGTCATTCTCTTTCGACTGGTGGTAATGTAACACGTCGCTCGTTGTATTCATTAATGATTAGTTGGTTGGTAGCCCTGTGTCGTGCAAGCAGTCAGCCACCTTTCTCTCTCGTCTACATGAAAATGAAGTGAACTTTCCAAGTAGTGAAGGAAGTGAGATTGAATGTTCTTGGCATATTCTCTATACTTTATACAGGGTTAAGTACACTAACTGTGTACTACGAGTACGTATATAAATGTACAAATATTGTGTTGGTACATATTATAGGCAGCAAATAAAGGCAGCGGTTTGAGCTGCTCTAATGTCTATTGTCATTAAATCCTTTATTTGGCTTCTCACATAATGAAAGAGAGTCGGGCAAGTATATAGATTTGCGTCTAAAACACAAAATCCCATATCATTATTATGAACAATAAGTACGTACATTTGTTGATACACCTTGTCTACCTTGCCCATTGTCAGGTTATTATATTATTTTGTGGCATGTTGTGCATGCACAGCCAAGTGCGACGGACAGCAAACCACAAACATGCTAATGTCCGACAACTAAACAAAGATATCCACACGTTTACGTCCTTTCGTCCATCCCATTTCTCGATCCAACCCATCCTCTCGTTATCTAGGCATCTCGAGTCCAAACATGCAAGTAATTTGCACCATTTCATAAAATGTACCATTCCTTGTCACATCAGTTGGTCATTATGATGTTTCATTTCGCTGAGCACCAAGCTCGTCCTTTTCCGTTACATTCTCACTTTGTCAAATATTAATACGCCCAAGTAAAGCGTGCCCTCTCCACAATGGTTGCATTTTATACGTGTGTATGTACCTACGTATTATATATGTACGTATGTGAGTATATAGGAGTCTCATGTTACCTTTGATATCATTTGCATGTCATTTGCGTCAGTTAATTCCTACTATTGCATGACAAAATGTGACATTTATAATTCAGATAAGGAGAACCAGCAAAGTCTGCAACCGCCTAATGGATGATCATGACGAAGATAATGAGACTTTGGTTAAGACGAGTTCTAAAGAGGGCTCATGAGTTTAGAAGAAATAAGTTCAACTTCATCTCTAATCTGGTTTTAACTGTCAAATAATGTTGATGAAAATGGATTATAATTAACAGAACCAAATTGGTTCACGGATGGCCTTATTAGAGCTGAAATATTTTCGTGTAAAACATCCGCATAAGTATAAAATGCTGACTCAAAGGTTATATGCAGGGAAGCGCTGGTTGTGATAATAATAACATAATGACACCTTCAAACTTCTTAACCACATTGTTCTAAAGCATGAGTGAAATCGTTTAACAGAACCAATTTAGCAGATCAGAAAGATTTCCCCACTCTGAATGGCTTTCTCGTAATTGAGTTAATTCAGCCGACGCACTTCTACTGAGGCTCTCTCGCTCTCGCCCTTCGTTCATATGAAGGTGTATGACTTTTTGTTAGATTTACTGGGTTTGTGGGGGTGCGACCAAGTCAGACGACCATGTAAAATTGTTTCACAAAATTCAGTAGCATGTTACAGATATGTATTTATACGTATAAAGGCGCATATATATATTCCAGCAGGAAAAGAGATCTAGTTGCACATCGCATTAACGTCTGCCTCTCTGCCAATAAGATTTACATGAGGAAGCTCTTTCTCAAATCATTTCCTTCCCTCGTGCAAGCGTTGCGTGTGTGTCGGGATGAGATGCAACGTCGTTAGATTAGCGAAGGGTTAATACAGTTGTAAATAAAGGGGCCAAGTTCCCAGAAAAGTGAGATAAGTTTCCACAAAACGCTAAAAAAGTTACAGTGCACAAGCACATAAGCAAGTGAGCGAGAGGGAGGGAGGGAGAGACAGCGGCCGGAAAATGAGATGCACCCTCGGAGCAACCAGAACAATTTTATGATGATGATATGCTTGTACCAAATTTGTATCATTGAGCCAACTCCCCCTTGGTTGCCATCCATTCCGATTGAACCGTATCATTTCACATCTAAATCTAAGATTAATCAAGCCATCAGCTCGGTCCGTGGGGACATCAGAGAGTTCCCATAAATTAAATAAGCAATAAGTGCAACACTGAGGGTGTAAAATTGTAACCTTTTTGGAAACAAATTGAGTCATATCACTGGGGACTTGCAGTAATGAAAGAATGGACGAATGACGGACAGATCACACGCTATTCATGCCACAAAGTCAAAGTGCACAACCAGCCTCCTCATCATATAGACAGACACATATCTGTCGGGTCGGTTGATTTGTCTCTGCTAATTTAGAGTGAAAAGAGAGCTGATGTGTGTACAACAAGTGTTGTCTGTCCGTACACATCAAATTGTTACCACAAGGATCGTATTTCTTTGTGAAAACAACTTTTTCCACACTTATTTGATCATTATGTGCTTTCCCAAAGTGAATAAACCGAATCCCGGATGAATGTTGGGAATTTATTTATTACGCTCAACTTTTCCCACCATAATCTTGCTGCCCAGATATAGCCATACATATGTATGCATTACTTTTGCTTTGGGAGTTGGTTTAATGGTGATCGTGCTACTTGTCCGTCAAAATTACCATTTCCTGTCACTCATTTAGGAGGAACGTTGTGGCCCATAATCACTTACACGGCTTTATATCCCTATGTACATACATACGTACATGTACACGAGCATAATGTATGAGATCCATTCTCCAACTTCCAACAGACGAATGTATGGAAGTAATAATTGTGGTTGACATTGCACACATGAGAGTAAAATAAAGTAATTTTCAAGTGACATCTATCAAATCAACATCATCCGTCCCGAGTTAATTCGGTACTTTATCCCATTTCGGGACATTCAAGTGGGTTATACGCTTTCCTCTAATTTTATTAACTTCCTCGCAGTTGTGGGGCTTGCATGACAAGGTAAACGTATAAACTTTAATTCGATTCGAAACTTGAATATTCCATCCCGTCCGACAAGCATATAAAATTAGAATAACATTTCGGCGTGTAAAAAATTAAAATTTTCAAACGCAGCGAAAAAATGTGCATGGGAGAAGAGCATGGAAGACTTGTCGGTGGAGGAAATGCTTTCTCCAGCAGTTATCCTGATAAAATAAATGTTTAAGCGACCCTGATGCTCCGTCGCTTTGTGCATGCTAATTTGACAGGCATTTTTCCACCACCACGTGCATATAGCGCCGCATTTCTACAATTCCTCATCCCTGTGCCGAGGAATCACTCTTGCACTTGCGGGATTGAACCGTCTTCTTCTTCTTCTGGTTGTTGTATGAACGTCTGAATCGAGCCAGCCCCACATAATATACGACACTTCAAGATAAGGCCATGAGTTATGATTTGGTTGAAGTGAGTAAATGAATACTGGGAGCTTTGAAAGGGTTGAATTTATGAGGTACGACAGCATTGACTTGTGTATTCACGTATTAAGAGCCA